CGAAGAAGTGCACCTTCGGCGTCCAAGGGGGCAAATTCTTAGGCTACATGGTGAGCCGAAGGGGTATTGAGGCCAATCCCGAGAAGATCCAGGCCATCATCAACATGGAGCCCCCACGCAACGTGAAGGAAGTTCAACGGTTGACGGGCCGCCTGGCAGCCCTCAACCGCTTTCTATCTAAATCAGCGGAGAAGTCTCTACCCTTCTTCCAGATCATGAGGAAGACGGCTGGCTTTCTATGGACTCCAGAATGCCAGGGGGCTTTCGACGAGCTCAAACGGTATCTATCTTCACCCCCTGTGCTCTCCAAACCAAAGGTAGGGGAGACCCTCTATCTCTACCTTGGGGTCAGCCCGGCAGCCATCAGCTCCGTACTCATCCGGGAGGAAGACGGCATCCAACATGTCATCTTCTATGTAAGCAAGACCCTAAGGGAGGCCGAGCTCAGGTACTCTCCTGTGGAAAAAACGGTGTTAGCCATCGTTTGGACCGTCAAGAAGTTGGGCCACTACTTTCAGGCTCACCCGGTTCAGGTCCTCACTCATCAACCCCTCGGCGCCCTCATGAGGAGCCCCACCAGCTCCTCCCGCATGGTGAAATGGGCTATCTTCTTGAGCCAGTACAACATTGACATCCGTCCGAGGCCCGCCATCAAGGGCCAAGCCCTGGCGGACTTTGTGACGGAGTGTACCGCAAGGGCAGCCACGGACGGGGAGACCTCGGCTACCTCGGACGACTGGTGGACCCTCTACACTGACGGCTCCTCCGCGACCAAAGCATGCAGGGGAGGGGTAGTCCTCATTACTCCCGAGGGCTTCAAAGCCTACTATGCAATCCGCTTCTCCTTCAAAGTCTCCAACAACGAGGCCGAGTATGAGGCCCTCCTATGTGGCCTTCGGTTGGCTGCCAACATGAAGGCTCGGCAGATCCATGTCAAACGCGACTCCAAGTTGGTCGTTGGCCAAATCTCCGAGGAATATGAGGCCAAGGAGGGAAGAATGAAACAGTACAAGGAAGCGGCCAAGGAGTTGCTTAAGGTATTTGAGGCACACTCTCTCACCCAAATACCGAGGGCTCAGAACTCCGAGGCCGACATACTATCTAAGCTCTCGGCCGACTCCCCCGAGCACATCTCCAAGATTGCTAAAATTGAGGAACTCAGTCTCTCGAGTATCCATGCGAGCCTGGTCATGAACATACAACAACGCCAAGAGGACTGGATCTTAGATATCATCACCTTCATCTCCACAGGGCAGCTACCCGAAAACGAGACCCGCGCTAAACTAGCAAAGCTGAGGGCTCCTAGCTACACCATCGAAGACGGAAGGCTCTACAAACGATCTTACAACGGCACACTACTTCGGTGCCTCCATCAAGATGAAGCCGAGGTCGCAATGGAGGAAGTGCACAGTGGCACTTGCTCGGCTCACCAGGGACCCTTCTCCATGTCCCGAAGGCTCATTCTCCAGGGCTACTTCTGGCCAACCATGGCCAGGGATTGTGTTGACCTTGCCCGAAGATGCCCCGCATGCCAATATTTCCAGAAAGCCCCCGGCAGGCCAACGGTCAACTATGCCTCCATCAGCACATCCATCCCCTTTTCTCGGTGGGGGATAGACCTCGTGGGCCCACTGCCGAGGGGTACCTCCAACAACAGGTACATCATCGTGGCCATCGACTACTTTACCAAGTGGGTAGAGGCTGAGCCCCTCGCCAGTATCACGGAGGCGAAGTGCCGTCACTTCGTCCTCAATAACATCCTCACAAGGTTTGGCGTCCCCCAGCAGATCATCTCCGACAACGGAACGCAATTTGAGGCAGCCCCCTTCTGTGCCCTTCTGGAGGCATGGGGCATCAAACACACCTTCTCCTCCGTTGCCTACCCTCAAGGCAACGGGCAAGTAGAGAACGCCAACCGGACCTTGCTCGAGGGCCTCAAAAAGAAGCTGGAGGCCGAGGGCGGTGGCTGGGTAGAAGAACTCCACAACATCCTTTGGGCCTACCGCACCACCCCTCGGCGAGCAACAGGCGAGACACCCTTCTCCCTCTGTTACGGGTTTGAAGCCAAAGCCCCTACGGAGGTCACCCTTCCCACCCAGAGGGTGATCCAATATGACCCCGAGGTCAACGACAGCAACATGGCCCTCGACCTCCACCTCCTTTCAGAACGCCGGGAGCAAGCCTTCATTCGGGCAGAAAACTACCGAAGGCAAGTCAAAGGCTACATCGACGCCAAGGTTCGCACCCGAGAATTCCAAGTGGGGGACTATGTCCTCCGGAGGAGGGAAGCCAGCCAGCCGACCGAGGGAGGCAAAATGGCGCCAAAGTTCGAAGGCCCCTACATCATAACAGTCATCATCAAACCTGAGACTTACAAGCTCAAACGCCCCAACGGAAAAGAGGTCCCTAGGCACTGGAATGTACACCACTTAGTTAAATTTAATCAATAATGTAAGAGCGGCCAAACCCTCATAACTAGTGAATGTACTATCCTATGGCCCAAGGCCTCCAATTTTGAGGAATGAAGACACATTCAAGACACCAAGAACAACCGCAAAACACTTATGAGCGGCCAAGCCCTCATACCAACTACAGGCCCCAGGCCTCACCACGAGAAGAACCCCCTCCGGCACCGAGTGCCGAGGGCGGACACCATCAACACCTTCAACAACAGTGGAAACACCAAGTGTCCCTACAGAAGACCCTTCGGCACCCAGTGCCGAGGGTACACATCTCCACCGTCAAACGTCAAAAAGAAGAACACCAAGTGTCCCTACAAAGACCCTTCGGCACCCAGTGCCAGGGGTACACATCTCCACCGTCAAACGTCAAAAAGAAGAACACCAAATGTCCCTACAGAAGACCCTTCGGCACCCAGTGCCGGGGGTACACATCTCCACCGTCAAACGTCAAAAAGAAGAACACCAAGTGTCCCTACAGAAGACCCTTCGGCACCCAGTGTCGGGGGTACACATCTCCACCATCAAACATAAAAAAGAAGAACACCAAATGTTACTACAGAAGACCCTTCGGCACCCAGTGTCGGGGGTACACATCTCCACCATCAACATCAAAGAGAAGAACACCAAGTGTTCCTACAGAAGACCCCTCGGTACCAAGTACCGGGGGTACACAACTCACCCATCAACGTCAAATAGGAGAAGAACACCAAGTGTCCCTACAGAAGACCCCTCGGTACCAAGTACCGGGGGGCTACATATCGAAACTAACACCAAGTGTTGTTTCTAAAGCCGTACCCCACGAAGACGCATATACCGAAGGCGCTACCATCGGTGCCGGCGGCATGTAGTGCCCCCGGCCATTTGCAACTAGTGTGCAAATGAAAACCCTTCCTTGAAACGCTTTCCGCGTCACTACCCCCAGGGTATGACAGGCATGAGAAATGCCCAGGATTCGACTTTCAAAAACGGAACGCTTTCCGCGTCATCACCCCAAGGGTATGACAGGCACGAGAAATGCCCGGGATTCGACTTCCAAACCGAAACGCTCCCCGCGCCACCACCCCAAGGGTGTGGCAGGCCACAGACTATGTCTAGCGCCGAGGGGACGACTTTCAAAAATGAGGCGCTTTCCGCGCCATCCCCCAAGGGGAGGCAGGTTACAGACCACCATATCTTGTACCCAGGAAACGACCCTCGATCCCCTCGGAACTCGGAAGGTTAACCCGAGGGAGGAGAGCCATTGGTGTATTCTGATGGTCTCCTGATAGGCCCAGCCTTACCAAGAAACCAAGTTTCTTGATGCCTTCCCTTCACCACCAACCAAAAAAAAACAGAGGGGGTGAAGGGGAGTAGACTCGTCGAGAAATCAATGAGTACAACGCTCCAACAAATCACAGCATACCGAGGGCTCCCTACGGGAACACCTCCGGTAACTGAAGGCTCACATATCACCCAACAACCGGAGGCACCTATTGCAAACCATCAAAGGCCAATCAAGGGGGCTTATTCCAAAATAATGTCGCCCTCGGGAAAACTTAATTGGAAAACGCTACTAACTGAAGGCTACACAAGGAAGCAACACTTAGAAAATTTTCTAAGTCCTAAAGATTGAGCCCCCGGCCTGATCGATATTTCAACTGAGGGACCATGATAGCCGAAGGCCACGTGATACCACAACACTTAGAAGATTTTCTAAGTTCTACATATTTGGCCCTCAATCGAGTAGTCACACATCAGGAAAGGAGGCTACCAGCCGAGGGCTTCCAATGGGAAACTACACTTAGAAATTTTTCTAAGTCCTAAGGATTGGGTTCTCAACCTAATCATCACACAGCGATTGAACTACAGTCATCCGAGGGCTCCTACTTCACGCATACTACACTTAGGAAAATTTCCTAAGTCCTACATATTTTGGCCCTCGGTCAACTCTCCATACTACCGGAGGGGCCATGCGGTTGAAGATTTGGTGAAGCTATACTTAGGAAATTTTTCTAAGTCCTACACACTTTGACTCTCGGTCAAACTTCCATGCTGACCGAGGGCTCCTACTTCATACATGCTACACTCAGAAAAATTCCTAAGTCCCAAAGGATCTTACCCTCGGTGACAAGTCTCTAAGTCCCAAATCTCCCTGCACCCGAGGGGTCATACGATTGAAGGCTTGGTGAGACTACACTTAGAAGTATTTTCTAAGTCCTAACTATAGCTGGGCCCTCGGTCATACATCTAGCGAAGGGTGCCTAACTACCGAAGGCTATGACTGTATTCAAACACTCATAAATATTTTCCAAGTCCTGAGCATTGGGCCCTCGGTGAAAGGTTCAATTGACTAAAGATTACTAGTAGCCGAGGGCTACAAGAAGCACCGCAATTAGAAGAAAATATTCTAAGTCCTAAACATACATTCAAAACGAGATGAAGGTATACATTCAAAAGAAAAGAAGGACGACACATTCATATACAAAAGCCCGAAGGCTAACATTCATCCATCAATCATCAAAAGGAAAGTCAGTGTAACTATTACATACGGGCCAAAGCCGAGGGGTGACAAAGGTTCATTACAAAGAGTTTTCAAAAATCAGCTAAGTACGAGTTCAGATTTATCAGCCACTTCATCGACGGTCCCTGCGGCAGGTTTGGAGGAGATTTCTTCTTCGACGGCATTATCCCCGACGGTAGCACCATCATCATCGCCGCTCATCATCATAGAATCATGAATCACCGGGCGCTCGTCGCCCTCGGGGAGGGGGGCTCTCACATCTGGCTGCAACGGGGGGAGGCCATACACCGAGGGGTCAAACTCCACCAGGGGGGTGCCGAAATGCCGGGCGAGCCTCCGGTAAACCAGATGCTGGGTGAAGAACTCGCCGGCTTGATAATAGGTGTCGCCCCTCTCGTTCATCCAGTCGAGCCCGGGGCCTTTCACCCACTCCTCGATCGAGGCCTTCACCACAGAGGCCACCCACTCCCTCTGGCCCTCGGCCTTCCAACCCTCGGAGATGAACCCAGCGATGGCCTCTTCTCGGGCTTTGACAACAGCTTCGGCCTTGGCCTTTTCGGCGTCCTCAGCCGCTTGCTTCCTCTCCTCGGCCGCAACCCTCTCGGCCTCTGCCTTGCCCTCGGCCTTGCCGTCATCTCTGGCCTCCTTCAGCTTCAGCTCCGCTTGCCGAAGGGCGTCCTCCAGCTTGCACACCGCCCGGAGGGAAGCGTCCTTGTCATGGATCAACTCCTTCACGGACTTCTCTAGCTCGGCCTTATGACGGAGCCACTCCTCGCGCCTTCGGGCCTGCTCACCGAGGGTTATACACGCCTATTGAATAACGGACAATGGGTTCAGACGGGCGTTGAGAATATACTAAGTGTTAAGATAAAAGCAAAGTAAAAATACTTATAGCCAGAGATGATCGAAGGGCCTTGCTCTCGAGGGCGTCGTCGTCGTGGGTGGAGAGGGCTTGCTTATCCATCATCGAGGTAATCCCCCTCAGGAAAGACATCAGTTCAGCTGAACCGTGCAACACAGATGCCCCCGGGGCGAGGGAGAGCTGAAGAATCTCCCGAGGCAAGTTCTCCGGGGGAAGAACTGTTTGAGCCATCGGGGTGTCAACGGCTGGGGACTCAGCGGAGGGCTGATCATCAATTACTATGAGGGGGGCCGCCATTCCAATGGTGCCCCCGGCAACCTTCTGTTTCTTGATCGGGGGCTCCACCCCCTTGCCTCCCTTCTTCTTCTTGGCGGCCACCTCGGCCTTCGGCCCCCTCGGCCACAGTAGCAAGGGCAGCATCAACAGAAGGCTCCACAACCTCCTTCGGGAAGACCTCATCAATGGGCTTTTGGCCCGAGGGCTCCTTTTTCTCCTTCTTCTGGACCTGAGCCCTCTCCTTCTTCTTTTTCATGGCAAAGAGAGCCTCCATACCTGCAAAAAAATGAAGAGAAAAGATTAACCCGAAGGATCCATACAACAGACAACTATTGGGATGCAAAATAAGAATGCCTAAGTACAAGACTAAGGGTCCTCGTAGACTACCTCCTGCTCCCCCGAAGGCCTCAGCAAAAACGGGATACTTCTCGTCCGTTTCCCCGATGAAGCGGTATCTCCGGAAGCCGAGGGCGAAGAGTTCCTTGTCGGCAGTGTAATCTGTAATAGACACTTGCTTCGTGCGACCCTCCGGGATTTTGGCTATTATCAAGCCATCCTTCTCGAGAGCGGCGTTTCCAACCTTCGGATGCCGACGGAAGCGATCCCGAAGTTCCGCCGGAAATGGGCTCTCAGCAACTCTGACGTAGCACCATCGCTCCTTCCAGCCCTTATTGGACGAAGGCGCCTCTGTAAATAGCTTCCACCTAGCTATCTGCTGCAGGTTGGTGAAGCCTTCGGCATTCGCGTGACCCCCTCGGCAGAGGTTGAAGCTCTGGAAGAACAAGTCCAGGCTGGGGGTCACCCCTCGGTCCCTGCAGAGGTTCAAAAAACCCGCCACGTAGGAGTGGCTATTAGGTGTCAGCTGGCAGGGGACCAAGCCAACAAACCTAAGGTACTCCCGGAGGAAGGGGTGCAGAGGGAACCGAAGGCCCATGGAGACCGACAGTACGTGTACTGCAATACACCCCTCGGGCGCCCGAGACAGCACATCGTCAACTCCCGGCTCGACCACCACGGCCGAAGGCCCTACGTGTAGCTGCGTGACGTAGAAATCCGCCTTGTCCGCCTTCGACTTTATCTCAAGGGCCTCAGTGTTCAGCCAAGAATACCCCTCGGGCATGTCAACGGGCTTCCCTTGGTCGGCAGCCCCGACTTTCTTCCTGGTAACAGCTTTCGCCTTCTTCTCCCTCGATCCGGGGGCTACTCTCAAGGGCATCGGGTTCAGTGGCCTCGAGCTGCTTGCTTCACCGGAGCCGCAGGGGGGAAGGACAGCCACTGTCACCCTTGTCCTCTCCTTTGCTTCCTCCTCCTCTGCAACCTGCACGGCGAGGGCTAGGTCTTCGTCCTCCGCCTCCTGCTCAAAGCCCTCGGCTTCGACTTCAGCCGTCAGGTCTTTCTGTACCTCTATCGCCATCGCGACGTCCTCTTGGACCGAGGGCTGCTCACTTGAGGACCCAACGTCTGAGAAGCTCTCCTCTTCCACCGATGGATCCCTCGATATGTCCTGGGAGTCACTCTGGGAAGACATCTTGGCTATAGTCTGAGGGCTCGGAAACACTAGTGTTTTCTAAAAAATTCTATCTCCTAGCCTAAGGGCACAGGGCACAGCTAACTACAACGAGAAGAGCAGGGGGGAACTGACGTTAAGGCAGGGATTGATCGAGGGCTGCTGTTTCTCTCTCTAGAAATTTTGGCAGAGTTTCGCTATAGGGATTTCACACAGGGGGAAGGGAACCGGCCATGGGGTATTTATAGGCGCTGGAATCCGGGCTTGGGCCTGGAAACCGGGCCTCCGGTTGGACTATCATCATTACACGCTGTGTCTTCGCCCAACCGGTGACGCCGCCCACGGACGGCCAACCATCACGCACCACGTGTACTCCCCCCCAACGGCTCTATCCTGACGTTACATATTCCAACGGCTATATTTCCAACGGCTATATTCTGGGAGCCCCCGGGCTTTTGCTTAACTCCACTTCATCAAGGAGAGCCTCCGGGTACACTTACCCAGAGACGCTCCCGGGTTGTGCCCCACACAGTACATAACAAACGCCTTCGGGGTCACTCCTTCAGAAGCCCAAGGCTTCATATCAGGCCACCCCTCGGGGATCCCCCTCAGTGTGCCTCATTGACAGATAGCCTACGGCACACAGGTAATGGGAGCCCTCGTAATGACACCCCGGTAACACCTCAACTACTACCATCATTCACTACGCCCTCGATCCCCATATCGAGGGACCCGCCTTCGGCACCTCCCAGGACATCAACAACAAGCCTCCGGCTAATCAACACAGGAGCCCTCGGAGCAAGGAGAGCCTTCGGCATCACCATATTCTCCATTTTGAACCAAGGTTTCACATTTTCGATTCATCGTTGGGGGAATTCGGTGCACTCTTTTTCCCTCATTAGGATTTTTTCCCACAGGGTTTTTCCTAATGAGGTTTTTAACGAGGCATCCCCCCAAAATGAAATGAAAAGCGTCAGCCTTCGGCCCACAACGCAACTACTCTACTCCTTTTCACCACTTTGCAAGTGCCTCAAGGAGTGGGGGACTGGAGGACCCCCTCGGGAAAAATCACAAAATTCACAAACATGACCCCTCAAGTCCCGACATGTGGGTAACTGAGGGACTGCCCTCGGCAGAATCAACAAACAGCAAACTACCCACAACTCTACAAGCTACTAACGGAACAAAGGCAGAGGACAAACACGATTACTCCTTTTCCCTCAAGTACCTTTCAGCAAAAGGAGTGAGGGACTCCTGATGGAGTATATGGCCCGGGAACCCCCGGCCCATAGACTCCTACTACTCCGATCAAGGCCCAACAGGCCCAGAAAGCCCAACAGGCCCCAGTCACAGCGCCCAGAGTACCAAGCAGCCCACAATGCGCACCAGAGGTGCCTTCGCCCCCTTGGCCGAAGGCTCTTACTTTCACAGGAAGGTCAGGATAGCAAAACAAAGCTACTGGGAAAGACGGCGAAAATCAGTAGCCCTCGGCACCTGGAGCCCTCGGCACCTAGGGGTCCTCGGAACTCAGAGCCTTCAGCTAGTCCTCTACAGCCGAGGGCACCCTACCCGACATGATATCCACACCACATGCGTACAGATCACCGTACCCTGTACAAACGTCCCTTCCAACAGCCGCATTAAATGCGGCCACATGCGGTTGCCAGCGCCAACCAGATGAGGTGACCTCTCGGCCAATGGACGCTTGACACGTGTCCCTGTCCGGCATTTATTGCTACTATAAATACCACCCCTTTTCCCCATTTGTAATCAAGTCATAAACGCTGCATACTTCCTGAATACACTTTCTCTCTCTACTTACTTGCTCTGACTTCTCTCTTGTTATTCCCCGCAATAACCCCCCGGATAAGCTACCCCCCGGGTACACTTATCCATCATCGAGCATCCTTGTTCCGGCCAAATATGTATGCAACAACTGCAGCTTCAATTTCTTCCAATATCATGTTTGGAGCAGGTCTAAACACAACAGGTATCCACTGCAAAATGTGTAAAAGTTATGAACAACATATTTACTAATATAAAAGAGTCTAAGAAAGTGTATTTACATTTGGTATCTTGATTCCCGATGATCTTCCATCATATAATGGAGTATTCATTGGGTTCTAGTTAAGATAACATGCAGATGAGTTTCCTTCAGTTTTGTGTTTGAACAATTTCCTTCCAAATTGAGATCCTATCTTCTGTTGAGCAATTTTTTTTCTTTCATTGGTTGGTGGAGACGTAAGCTTCTCTTCAAGAGGAAAATTGAATATTTTCATGAAGTTGGTGTTTGTTGGGCTTCCCAAATGATAGTTTTTGGGATTGGAGAATGAGGTGACCATTAAAGGTGCTCCACAAAGAGGCTGCTGTGAAGTGTACCCATTGGTGGTGGAGTTTTTGACAATAGCTTGGTTTAGACTATTGACAACCTTCGTCAGCTCTTCTACAGATTTCCGAAGATCCTTAAACTCTTCTCTTGTGACCTTTGAAATTACATAGAAATATAGAAGGTATTAGTAGTACCTAATTGGTCAAACAATACATAGTATAGTACTGAAATAAAAAAGTAAATGATACCATGTCTTCTTTTGCATCGTTGTGTTTGCAAGAACTCAATCGACGGTGCGGGCTATCTACTTCTTTTTCATCGGAGTTCATAGTGGGAACGCTTTCACATTTGCTTAACATGGTAAATTTGAGATATTTAAGACATTAGACTATTACAATTAAGAGTGTATGTAATACATAATTCACCCTGAACAATAATAGTTTTAATCTAATTACCAGAAACCAAAGTTGCCCTATTTTTGTTTACCGAAGTCATCAATTTAGTTCAGGAAAGAGAACAAACCTTGATGATAGTTCTATTAAGGAAGCTGCTCTAATGTGTTTTTTATGTCACGTGATGCAGAACGTGTTCCTCGTAGTGATTCTATCCTCCTAGCACGAGAACACAAACAGAGGGATCTGCTATTTGGAGCCATAACATTCAAATGTTGATAGGGGCAGGAAAAAGTAGTGGTAAGAGTAAATAGTAGTAAATATGAAGATGTAATGTCAATATGTATGCTTAGGTATAGACTTTTGTACCATGGGTGTTGGCAATAGGTCCATGAGCAGGACACATCGGTCCCATTGATATGCTATTTTTGACATTACATTATAGTACGATACAATTGTGCTTCTCAATGATATACTAACATGAATGCTTTAATGGATACAACTGATACACATCGATATTACGTACATGAATACAATACAGTTGTTTTAATGGATACAACTGATACACATCAATACTACGTACATGAATACACATCGATATTACGTACATGAATACAATACAATTGTGCTTCTCAATGATATACTAGCATGAATTGACAGCTCTGTGAATCTCAGCCTGCCCATATTGGTTATTTTTGTCGCATAGGCCATTTGGTGTAGTGTAATATTAGGATTCCAAAATGTTAAAGATGACATTTTTGGACTCCTAATTTCATGTAGTGATAGGCGGGTGTTATAATCCCAAAATACAAATTTTTAATTCACGAAGACTCTACAAATGACTGAATATTCCATAATAAAACTCTACTTGAACAAAGTTCATTTTTTGTTAACCGAAAAAAGTAAAAAAAGTTAATGAAATCTATTTATTTTTACATCGAAATGTATGTTTTTTATTTCACAATTATCTAAGGAAAACAGTAAAAGGAAAACCTTACTTATAATACTTTAATTAATGTTTTAGTAAATTGATATATACTATCGTATATAAATATGTTGAATGTATTTTATTGACGATGCTGGAATGCATGAAAATAAGAGTCTTAACACCGTTTTCATATGGACGGGGTACAATTTTGACATTTTGTATTCCCCGCCACTACAAATGGTCTTAGGGATGACAATTTAACCTGACCTGATGAATACTCGCATTGAATTGAATCGATCAAAATGGGAAAAACCTGTTTGACTGGGTAACAAGTATCGGGCGGGGAATACTCGATTTATGTAAGCGAGTAATGGGGTGGGTACAGTTTTACACTTACCCGCCCCATTACCTGCCCCGTAACCGCCCCGTTTAGTTCGGGTACGATTACTCGGACCATTACCAGACCCATAACATCATCTTATGCTCTGTATATTTTAATAGATTATATATTTGATGTACTCCCTCCGTATTTTAATGTTCACTTCATTAGGTTGGACACATTATTTAAGGAGTAAAGTAGTCGGGGTAGTGAATAGTGTAGAAAAAGTATGAAAGAATGTGTAAGAGTATGAAAGAGAAGATAAAAAGTAGATAAAGTAAGGGTAGTTGATTATTTTATAAAGAGTAAATTTACCAAAAATGGAAGTGTATGGACCATTTAAATACAACCCAAAAAGAAAAATGTAGAAAACTTTTAAATACGCAAAGAGTATTATGTAAATACTTCATATATTATGTATATACTCCCTCCGTCCCTTAAAACTTTGTCGTATTTCCGTTTTGGAACGTTCCAAAAAACTTTGTCACTTTCCTTTTTAATCAACTATTTTGTGATTCGTGTTATTTCTCTCTCCTCTACACAAACCTCAACCACACGGTTTTTACTTTACTATTCTCCGTGCCAGTCAAACATGACAAAGTTTTAAGTAGGGTAGAGCACGGTCGGGTTCGGATGGGTCGGGTTCAAAATTTGTAAACCCGTTCGGTTATCGGATTGATAATTTCAAACCCTACCCTATCAAAAAAATTATCGGGGTTTTCGGGTTGCGGTCGGGTTTATTTGGTTTTCGGGTCCATTCGGATTTTAATTTATTATTATTGTTGAAATTGTGATAAATAAAACGGTAATTGGTAAAAATATCATTCAAAGTTATACTAGTATAACATTCAAAGTAATAGTTGTATAATTACGGAAATCGACATATTTGAACATGTAAAATAATAATATACGATGATTGGCATATGTGATATTATGATAAATAAAATGATAATTTGTAAAAATATCATTCAAAGTCACAACAATACAACATTCAAAATTATAGTTGTACGAATACAGTAATTAGAATATTTGAACATGCATAATATTGTAATTGGTATACAATAATTGAGATATTTGAACATGCATAATAATTCAAAATAGTATACGGAGTATATACTACGCTAGTTCGGGTAGTGGGGCAGGTCGGGTAGCCTAATTTATAACCCTACCCGCTACCCGCTAGTTGTAATTTTCTATGTAAATGATTTAATAGTATAAAAGATACTAAGTGGTGCTCTATTTCTTTGTGTACATGTGTAATGAAATTGTTATAATTACTTTGTAATTATATTTTAACTCCATTGTTGGGATAGGATTTGGTTTGATTTGATCGATTTGCGGTGCTTATTGAAAAAAATATTGATCAATAGATATATAATAAGTTATTGTTTGTTATTGATATTATTTTAGAAGAACAAAGTTATCTTTAAACCATGTGGTTACTTGCAAAGAATACCATTCCCCGCTCCACCCGGGTATAGTTCGGGTAAAAAATTACCCGACAGAGAACAGAGCGGGTACGTAGATTATAAATTAAATAACAGGGCGGGTACGGGTAATGGTATACCCGAATCCGAACCACCATTTTTTCATCCCTAGTCGCATTCTGCAAGCATGTCAGTGCGCACAATCGTACATGTTAGCAAGAAGGGTGAATATTTTCTTCACTTTAAAAAATAGCTAATACCTCGCTCCCTAAATAAACATTTCACTCTCTTTTTCAGACCGTCCCTTAAAAATATCCCTTTCCTTTATTTAGTAAATAAAACGGTGCAAAAATGTGTGAAACTGTATCCAAACAGTGTCACTTTATTAAATTGTGGGAAAGTCAAACTAGGCATTTTAAATTCGGAAAGAGGAAGTAACATTCAATTAGGATGTTTTTACCAGTACTATAATTTCATATCATCATCATCCTTATTGCCATCAACATCACCACCACCACTATCATCACTAACATCACCATTACCGGTACCATCACAACCATCACTACCATCACCACCATCATCATCACCATCACCATCAAAATCATCACCATCAATATCATCACATTCATACCATCACCATCAACATCATCACCTTCACCATCACCTTCATCATCATTACCATCATCACTATCACCATCACCATAATCATCACTACCACCACCATCATCACTATCATGACTATCATCACAATCACCATCAACGTCACCATCACCATCATCATCACCACCAACATCAACATCATTACCATCAACATCATCACCACAATCATCTAACATCACCACCACCATCAACATCATCACTACAATCACCTCACCATCATCATCATTATCATTAGCATCACAACCATCACCATCATGCCACCACCATCACCATCACCATAACCATCACTAGTAACACCACCGTCAACCACCATCACTTGCATGATTGTTATCACCGTAGCCATCAACATCATCATCACCACCATCATCGACATCATTACCATCAACATCACCACAACCACCATCAACATCATCACTAGCATCACCCTCACAATCACCATAACTAGCATCACAACCATAACCATCACCATCACCACCACCAATGTACCACCACCATTACAATCAACATCAACATCACCACCATCACCATCAACATATTCACTAACATCACGTCACCATTACCATCACTAACATAACAACCATCACCACCACCAACAACATCATCACCATCAAAATCCTCGCCATCAGCATCATCATCATCATCATCATCATCATCGTCATTATCAAAATAATAATCATCATCACCATCATAATCATCCTCATCACTAACATGACCACCACCATCATCACCATCAACATCATTATTACCATCAACATCATTACATTCATACACCCACAACCATCACCATCAACATCATCAACATCACCATCACCACCACAACCCCATCACCATCAACATCATTATCATCAACATCACCACCACCACCACCATCGTTACTATTAACATCACCATTACCATCACCATCACCATCACTAGCATCATCACCTCCACCACCATTACCGTCACCATCAACATCGCCACCATCATCATCACAATCTTCATCATCACTATCACCACCACCAAGACCATCATCATCAACATCATTACTATCAACATCACCACCACCATCATCATTACCATCAACATCATGACCACAATCATCTAACATCACCACCATCATCAACATCATCACTATAATCACCTCACCTCAACATCATGAGCTAAATTATGTTTCCTCGCAACAAACCCCTTACATCTCGCATATGTTTGAAAAAATTTGCAAGCTTCATGTCGAGTATAAAATTCCAAATCCCGAATCTCACTAGATGATATGTCATATATTCTTCTAAAATGATGATCAATAGCTGGTAATTGAATGTTGTCTTCATTCTCACTAACCTGCTGATCTCGCAATTGCTATCTCGCAATTGCTATCATCGTTGTCAGATTTTAATAACATCCATACCTTTATGATTACAAGTTCACATTCACTTCATGTGTTGGGAGTAGGTCAATAACTTCTTACAATCGGTTTTCGGGCTAGAAAATCAATACAATGTAGGAGCTTGCAACAAATAGCTCCTGGACGATATATTGTTATTAGTTAATTGGGCAGAAATTAGAAAGATAATAACATAATGTGTTATCAAAAGCCTGTAAACAAAAAATAATAATGGCTGGTACATAAAACTAATCCTAAACTGAAATTTATTTGTAAAAGACTGCATATAATGTTTGACAGAGATCTATAATTACTTGGTTTTATAAATTAGCTGAATTTATTCAAACTCCTCAAAATAGTACAACTCAAGAGGTTTAATTGGTTAGATTGATGAGATTTTAATAACATTCCACATCTTTACGATTAAAATACACATTCAGACCACCTTTTATTGAAAGTTTTCAACTGCTAAACTTTTTAGATTTAATTGGGGGTTTTCAGGTTTGTTTCTTTCGGCATCTCATACGTCCTGTCACTAAAATTGATTATCAGACTCTCAGGCATGGATTTATCATGGTACGAAAAATAATACTCTCTACAAATTAATATAATATAATTGAGCATTGGGGCTGGAGTGATGAAAATGATGGTGGCTCCAATCCAGCATCCGATGACAATCACGACATGGACCATCTTCGTATTTCAACACCATGATGCACCGACATGGTGATAATAATATTGTAGAAAAGAAAATTGATGATCACAACACCAAATTGAGATCAATATGGAGGAAAGATCCGATTTTTCCTTCGTTAGAAGATTGGACTGAAAGTGCTAATGAAACTTGTCGACAGTTTTTTGTAAAGAATAAAAATATAAAACTAATAAATAAACTGAGACCAAATCGGGACCTGCGGCTGAACCGGAACTGAAAATATAGTTCATCACAGGCCACATTATTTCTGTTTTGAGACCTAACTTAGACTGTGTCCATGTGTAGCTGTAAAGGTGGATTTTAGGCAAATGTGATACGCTTTGTTACCTAGAACTACAAGCATCTCAATCAGCCATAGAGAGGACTAGAGGAGAGTGACTACTTGTGAGGAGTGGCCATAACCTTATACTTTTTGGTACGTTGAATCCTAATCGTATACCAATATACCAAATCCAAATTTGGGTCAATTCCAATGTCTGTTCAAGACATTCAGACATGTTCCTTGTCCAATTTAAAAAACATAACCAAAATCGATTCAATCTTGCCCTATTTTACAAGTACAAAACTCAACTTGATTAAGAGTACCCTAGAAAAATAAAAACAGAACGAATTAGATTAGAAAAATCATACCTTAGCTATTCCGCCGTTGGAGACGGATGGCCAGAATCGCGGCCCACGACTTAAAGATGGAAGGCCAGATGTCATCCTTAGGACACCGGCCACGACCTGGAGGCGGATGTCTAGGAGTCGCCGTTCGCCGTTGGTCCTCCGCGAATGACCCCTCAATAGTTCAGTCTGATTACCATGGAGGGAGCGACGGTAGGTGGTAGCTCTGCTGTTAGCTCTTACGAAAGCTATCCGAGCAGAGAGGAAGGGATAAGAATTGCTGGCTAGAAAAATTATTGTTCACTTGATACTCCGTATTTCCATAAGAGAAGAGAGGCCTGTTTGTTTATACAGCAATTGAATTACTGAGTGACCTTTTTATTCGGAAAGCATCCACTTCAACTTGCTTTCAAATGGCCAAAAACCAGATATCCATAAAGGAAAAGTTTTACAATCAATGGGGAGTTGCACCACCCTTTTCACCTTCTTTTCCCTTTTACGCAGCTGCTCTTAGTTGACGTTGCAATAAGCAGAAATTCCTTGAGGAGTGCAACAATATCAACAACAATATACAATTAAAAGAAGATAATATAGTGGATTCAAAAAGAACTCTTCCTAGTTCTTAAATTTAGTCCTCAAGATGTAAGAATAATTTTAAATCCTCTGCATGATAATCTATTAATTGGAGGATATGCTCCTAGAGTAATTGATTGTATCTTAAATGCTTTTGGAATGTGAATTAATAAGTACTTATAGCGTTCAATCTGAGTGTCTCCATAAATGCTAATGAATTAAATCAACAATTTTGTATTTATATCTGGTCTTATATAACTGAGTTAAAGTGGCTCTGTTTAACTTGTATTTAGTTTGTATCTGACCATTTCGTTGATTTAGCTTTTTTATGCGGGAAAGCTGTTATTAGTTCCTTTATAAAGAAACTGAGTGACAGATTTACTTAGGCATTGCTTGAGCTTTTTTGTACATGGTTACTCTGATATCACATCCTTTAAGGACTGTGTTGTTTCTGCTTGAAACAGAAAGTAATTGAAACAAAAAGTATCTCCTTGCATGCATGTGGATTAATCACACTTGCCATTATGAATGTTTAATTTTTTTAGGTGGAGGATCTGCTGAAGAACTATGAGAATGTGTGCACATTACTAGTCAGAATGCCCATCTCATCTGATATTATCCATCAAAATATGCAGTGTAGAACTGGAAATGTGTGGAACTTTAATAGTGCAATGGTTAGAATAAAAAAAATCACTTCTCTATTTGTAGAAGCTGGAACCCTTGATTCTAAAATCCCATTTTTAATCCATGAGAAGTGCTTCTAAATTTATATATATGTACTCACCGAACTGGCTCTGTCTCAGATTGTAAACACAGCAATACAAGTACAAAACTCAACTTGATTAAAAGTACCCAAGAAAATTAACAATATCATACCTTAGATAAAATTATGATAAAATTAGAAAAAAGGAACACAGTAATATAAAAAATTATGATAAAATTAGATTAAAAGATTGTAATCACAGCAATACAACTTGATTAAGAGTACCCTAGAAAAATAAAAACAGAACGAATTAGATTAGAAATATCATACCTTAGTTATTCCGCCGTTGGAGACAGATGGCAACCGGAGGATAGAAGTGCATTGGTGCCCTCTAAAATGGGGTGGCATCAGAGAAAAACCCATTTAATTATGTAACGTAGAGGCGTAGACGCCTAGACGGTCCTTAAATAAATGCCACATGATCGACGATATGAGGTATCATATGGTGTTATGTGTTGGAAAAGGGTTTTGTACATTTAAGTGAACCTTTACTTTATGCGGCTTAGCATTCATACATTTTTTGCCATGGGTTGTAAAGTATTTGTTAGTTTCAAAAGTTTAGAATTGGAGATGCTCTAATTAAGCAGCTTTGAAAAGGTTCCGTTTTTTCACTTTAAAAGTAAATTGTACATTTGTACGTAGTAAATAATTGCTTAGATTAATAGTTAGGACTATTAGTTTGAGAAACCTTATCATTACTTTCACAGTATACGACAGGGCCTAAATGATTGAACCTTTGACAAGGTTGAATCCCCACTATTAAAAGTGGTGAAAGACTCCAAAAATAAAAACTAAACAAGCTTCAAGTCAATCTTCCAATTACCGTAAGGACTCCAAACTCGTCATGATATGACTTTGGACTTGTTTTTTTTTTGGTGGATTGATGCAAAGGCACTGCAAAATGCAGCATTTTCACTTGAAAAATATCAGACCTGTTTACTAACAGAGATATTTTCCAGTTTTCCAAAAAACTGAAAAACTAGAAAACAGAAAACAAGAAACGTGTATACCAAAGAAAATTGCTGGAAAACCGGAGAAAGGAAAACAGAAAAACGCGTTTACCAAACCGTTTTCCAAAACGAAAAAAATGAAACATGTCTCTCTTTTGCTTAATGATTTGGAGAAATTACTTTTACTAGTTTTCCGAATTTGCTATAGGCCGCTGCAATGAATTTGCATACTTACACCTAGTGGTGGGTTCGTTCCCGCTCCGATGTCGATTCCATTCTAGTACCTCCATCCTTATACCTTACCCCTACCCTACCCTACCCACCCAACCCCCACCCTGCATACCCCTTTCTCTACAATGACCCCACCCCCCATCCCCCTACCACATGCCCCTACCTCGGTCCCACCCCGATCCACCCTACCCTACCGCCACCCCCTACCACCTCAACCCCACCTTACCCCACCCGCACCCACCCCCACCCATACCTTCCTTCCCTACCACGACCCCTACGAGTAGGTATGGGTGGGTATGAAGGGTTTTAGGGGAGTATGGGTAGAGTGTAAGATCATGGTAAGGGTATGGGTAGGGGTCAAGGGTGTGGAATTGGGTGTAGGGTGTAGGGTGGGGGTACGAGGTATAGGGGCAGGGTAGGGTTAGGAGTATGGGTACACGTACGAGGTGATCGACCCCACATATTATATTATATATTTGTGTTCATTAATGTTTGTGTGTCTATATATGTATAGGGTTATTTTGGACATTTTATTGTTAAACGGTGCTTTAAACCTTTTGAAGTAAACATGATCTTATAACATTGCTTATTTTATGCGTCGCTTATTAACATGAATCTTAATAAGCACCATTTAGTAACCTGTGAAGTAACGTGTCAGTCTTCTGGATGATCACAGAACTGGGTGAAAAATTTGATGAACATGTTTTCAGATTTGAAAATGGAAAACTATAAAATAGAAACAGAAAACTGGAGATAGAAAAACTGAAAAATAAAAATAGAAAATTGGAGAAAGAAAAACAGAAGTAGAAAACAGGAAAATATCTCTGTTAGTAAACGGGTCCTCAGTGTTTCAGCCTGAGACGCTAGAAACCAAACTACATTTTCATCGCACAAGTCGTCTCTCGTTTGTCCAACTATCGCCTCCGGTAACTCATCGGCGGTAGAGAAATAATATACCCAAACTAGTTCATACCACTCTTATTATAATAATTTGTTTAATTGTGAAATTGAGTGGATGGTGAAATTTATTGAAGTTACTAAAATTCTAATTGAATTGATTGAATCTATCAAAATTTATTGAAGTTACTGGAGGGCTGTTTTAAACTCTTCATTTTTTAATACATGGACTTGTAATATTGGGCTTTATTTGGGCCTCCACATAGGAAGTGTGCCCAAACCTACAAGTCCATGTATTAAAAAAATGAGGAGTTTAAAACAGCCATGAGATGCATCAAACTACCCATTGCAGATGCTTAAAGAACCTTTGCCTTATCAAGCATTTCGGTCTTGTTAGAAGGTCTTTGATTGTAACACCCCTACCTAACCCGGAAGGCTCAGGCAAGAGAGCGCTATCCGCAGTCGGAGCACCAAAGCGTAGACTAACTTTTCATTATCCTTTTTTTATCCTTATCCCAACAATACTTTTATGTTAAAAACGAGCTATGGTAATAACTTTATGAAACAGTAATTGTAGAAAAAAATCATATGTGCATAAGTATCCATATTTCCATATTTTATACGTAACACATAAATGTTAAAGTGTAAGTATTACATTATACATGAATGCTAACTGCATATTTATTATGCAAACTAAAAATGAAATAATATTACTATATGCAAGTGTGAGTCTGTGCTGATTGGCAAGCTGTTCCCAATTACTTTTCTCCTTGAACTTTGCCTCGAACTGTGTACCTTACGCGAAGGACAAAATCCGACGCGCTAAGAAAATCTTGCTTGGTGGTGTTCATTCTTTAATATCATACATTATCAATATCAAATATCACATATTAAATTAACAATTAAAAACAAATATAAAATTCTATTGAAATATGTAAACTTCTCCAAAGTGTTTTTTTTACTCACTGACTTGTAAACACTGATTTGTAAACACTGATTAGTAAACACTGATTTGTAAACACTGATTTTTTTTACTCACTCAATGATTTATAAACACTGATTTTTTTAACTCACTGACTTGTAAACACTGATTTTTTTTACTTACTCAAGGAATACATTTTATTTCATGTTAATAGATTTTCAATACATTTAATAATTATATACAAATTCAACTCCTTGAAATCTCAAAAGTTTATAAACACAACAAACTCAATTCGTTATTAGCGTATAAGCTAGATATAATATAAAATTCTTAATATCTACTAGACCATATTGAATATGTAATACAACCCCTTTATAACATTTGTGTATTAAACTTTTTTTATCAGGAAGTATATGAAATGGATAAATATAATATTTTGAATCATGTAATACCATTTAATTCAAAGTGACTTGTTCAATTTAATTCACTTTGATCAAAATAGTTATTTTAATGTATTTCAAAATGTAAAATATCCTGATTAAGATTTTGCTCTTTACTTGAGCTGTTAATATCTCATTATTTTCTTTATAACATATAGAGCGATATAAATATACCTTTCTTATCTGGATATTAAGAGGAATATCATAACTTTATTTAATCAATAATTTATCTGTTGTCCCTGATCATATTCAACACTAGCTTATTTCAGAATAAATAATTCATGAGTAAAATCGGTCTAATTCTTCAATTTAATATAATATTGCATTCTCATATCGTCTTTCATTCTTATATTCATATCATTTTTTCATTTTCTCAATTTCTATTTGTACATTTTTCATAAATTCTTTCTATCTCCATTTTCACCACTTCATGTTGGATTCAAAATTCACATGAGCTATATCTAGCTGTATTTAATATTCCATTCGATTCTCTTTTGCCTCTCTCTATTTTATTTTTCACACTTTAATTTCATTCTTTTATTAATTTTCTGAAATTCTACTCCTTAATAAAATGGACTGGATAAACGGGACATCCTCATTTGGTATTATCCACTTCTTGGTTGCGGACCATCTGAGTAGTATCAGCACTGGCCATTGTGTGGGTCAGACCTATCGTTTGGGTACTGTCCACTTCATGGTTGCAGACCCTAAATGATCGAATTTTAGAATTTGAGTACTATTCACTCCGTGACTGCGGATCCATAATTTAATGTCATGATCCGGGTACTGTCCGCTCTGTGACCGCAGACCCGTAATTAATGGATTAAATTCTACGGTCGTATTACCTATCCCTTTTGGCATGCCAACATATTCAAATCTAGTAACAAGGTTTCGAATTTCATTTGTTTTATTCATTAAAATTCTTAGTACTATTATTTCTCAAAAATTCATATAATTATTATAGGAATTTTATCAATTCGGGACCTGAAAGATAGACGAACTATCAATTCAGGGCCTGAAAGATGAAATGTATCAGTATAGAACCCGAATGATAATTCGTCTATCTTTCAGGTCCCAAAATGATAAAATTCCTATTATTATACTAATACTTCTTATTTCAAACTAGTATAATTACAATTGACTAAAAATACAACTTATTATACAATACTGTTCTGATCAGTTGAATGTCCGAACTTGCTTATTTCTTTATGTATTGTATGTTGAAGATGGAGCCTTGTTTGTGCAGCAGCAGGAGATACCCGACCGGGTGGGGTCAGTCACCCGACCGGGTATGATGTGAATTTGGCCGGGCAACTTTAAGGAAGTTTACCCGACCGGGTCCGTGGAAGGTTTTGGCTTCTGTTTAGGATACCCGACCTGGTGTCTACCCGGGTATGCCTTTTAAGGAGACACCCGACCGGGTCAAGAAGGGGACCCGACCGGGCCAGTGTAGATTCTACCTTTCTGTTTTGGTTACCCGCCCTGGTTTCAACCCGGGCATGCTTACTGAGGAGATACCCGACCGGGTCAAATAGGAGACCCGACCGGGTCTACGGGTTAATCTTAATTACGGGCTAAATTTTTTGGGCCTGCGGCTCTAATCTTTGTTTAGGTTTTCTTAAACCTATTTAAGCATATCTTTGTACGTTGTAATACCCCAGACGCAGACATAATAATAAAACAGCTCTCTCTCGTTCGCCGTGGACTAGCACAATCACCCCGATTGTGTGAACCACGTAAATTCTTGTGTTCTTGCTCTTTAATTTATCATTTTTATTAACCTAAATCGTAACAAGTGGTATCAGAGTTATGGCTGACAAAGGGAAGGTTAAGATCGATAAATTTGATGGTCAAGATTCTGCTTTCTGGAAGATGCCAATCGAGGATTATCTCTACCAGAAGAAGCTTCATCTACCCTTGTCTGAGAACAAACCAGAATCAATGGCGGAGGCGGAGTGGAACTTGCTGGATCGACAGGCTCTTGGTGTGGTGAGGTTGTCGTTGGCGAAAAACGTTGCTTACAACATCGTCAACGAGAAAACAATGTTTGGACTACTCAAGGCGTTAT